GCCCCCAGGGATGGAGAAGCCGATGAAGGGGGTGGGACCGCAGCAGGAGTTCCTGGGGGAAGGGAAGGTTCAGGGCCAGAAAAGAAGGAGCAAGGTGGGAAACAAGGGATCCCAGACCGTGTGGCCAGTGGCATCTTAGGAAGGGGGGGTGGTCCGGGACGGACTTTCCCGGAGAGGGAACAGGGAATATGGAAAGACAGGGGTGAAGGAGGACACGGAACGGCGGGCAGACGGCAGCAGACCCGCATCACTCTGAATGTTCTCCGTCCCTTGCCTGCCTTCAGGAAAACAGGGGATGGGATGGCAGAGAGACACCGGGGTGACGGGGAGACGGCAGCAACCCTGAGCCATCTTGGCATTTTTCACCCTTTGTCCTGCCCTTAGAAACATAGGAGACGGGAAGATACAGGGAGGTATACACCAAAAACAAATGAGAAACTTCAGAGAAGACAAAAAAAGTCCACAGGAAAAGCCATACCGTCCATAATCGTCCATAATGTTAATGTCATCCATAAAGGTCCTTCTCATGTATATAAAAAAAACCAAAACCATCTATAATACTTTTTTTTGTGTGATTTAGATGTTTGTCCCAGCGTCTGGTCTCTCGGCTCCCCCACCTCCGTAAGCCCTGTTTTTCCCCCATGCCCGAGGCACTCTCAACGGGGCCCTCCTGCCAGGTCTCTCGAGTCCTCCTTTCTTAGGCGGGGGTCTCGCCGGCTCTCAAGCCATCAGCCGGGGACTTACGGGGTGTCCATGGATTTGAATACAGAAGTCATTTGTGTACTTTTCAATTTGCTGAGTTTCAGCTAAGGTTCAATTCTCCATGTCTTGGGACACAGATGAGAAAGGATTTTCTACACTGACAGGTAAGAGCAAAGGTGCCGTTTTTCCAGTCAGCATTGAACAGTAGGATCACAGGTCAAACACATCACACAAATAGAAATTCAGTATGGATCTCTAGCAGATTTTGTATCTATATATACAGTATAGAGACTTTGTATCTATACTGTAAAAATTTACACTAAGATAAATTCTTATAACTAGATAAAATATGACCAGGTAATAAGGAACCACTTCTGAGCCTGAGTGTCTGCAAAGTGGGAATTTGGGGTGACTAACCCACTTGGAGTCACTCACTTTCAAGTCACCTACTTTGCACAAAGGCTTTTAACTCCTTCTTCAATTCAAGGCTTCCACTTTAGATCAGAATGATACAAAGCAAACACTACTCCCGAAGCACCAAGATAATAACAATAGGCACCTTATGATCTAGGGCTGGGCGTGTTCAATGTAAAAGCAAAGAGGTAGATTCTTAGAGATTGCCTTGTAAAACCTGCACGGAATTTCTAGAGGGAAAGCAAGGAAGAAAGAGTATTTTTCCAGCTGCTAGATTGATACTAGCAAAGGTATCCCATTCTTAGGAAGACAAGGCCCCTCAAGGAAGTAGAGCAAGCCTTGGCAAATTCACTGAAAAGTTCCAGTATTCCTCTGGGTAGCTGATAACATGAAAGAATCAAACTATGTTTTTGGCTGTGAGCAAAGAAAGGAGGAGAGTTAGTCTCATATGCAGATCCTGGAATATTAGATGAGGGCTCTGTTCTTAATTTAATTTATTTTAAAATAATTTCTCTTCTTCTCCCTTTACCCACCTCAACATACACTACTCTTCAGAACTTGAATTTTCATTCAATGTGTTCCTTTCTTATTTCAGTGGCTGACTATAAAGTACAAAACTTGTATCTTGGTAAAGCCATATCACCAAACTGAGAAAGAAATTAGTATTTGGACATGCAGCTTTCTGAAGGGGAGAAAGAAAAGTGTGGACAAGAAGAAGCCTAAGTTTTCAACACCTGAAGCACGCAAAAATAACATGTCTTGTGATATTGTCCCACAATGTTACAGAGTTCAAACTCTGTACCATGACTCATTAGCATCTGGACTTCATTGCTCATTATGCTTAGAAATGATGCTTGAAGGCACTTCATATCAAAGATACAGTTCCTGTAAATTACTGTCTATACAGATCAAAATCCTACAAAAAATCCATGTCCAAACCAGCAATAGTGAGACTTTTCTCTTTGGCAGTGGCTTAGGTGCTCCTGGAGATCTCCAGGCCTAGACACAAAGATGTGTATTCAGGGGAGGGAGAGAAGCCTCATGCTTAGCTCTAACTGTGACCTTTGCTAGCAGATCTTCTTAGCAGTTAATCAACTATGTTTATCCTGCTGTGAGCCAGAGCCAGGATGGGAATCAGAGTCTAGCTGACAGAAGAAGATCACAAGACCCTCAGCCTTTCCAGAAGAGGAAAAATACAAAATACCATGAATTTGCCTTGGGTTGAGAGCCTTTTTCACAGATCTATAGACAAGTGATTGTCATGGTTTTAAAGAAGTAACTGAAAAATTACTAGAAAACTTTCTTTTTTCTTGCTGTGAGATATGGATTAGAAGAAGAGCAAAACAGGCTTAAAACTTAAAAGGAATAAAGAAAGTTTATTAACAAACTACAAGAATAAGAACACCAGAATAAACCTCCAGAAAACCCTTTTATCCCCCACTACCCACCATTCCCTTGTTCACATGACAACATAGAAACCAAACACTTTGGAACTTTGATGTTTAAAAACAGTCCCAATTCCTGCTAGAGTCTTTTCATCAGCCTTTGTAGAGAAACAGAAGTTTTCTTCTGCTAATCTATGGAGTTTCTCACGAGAAAACTATTTCTGTTATAGTTTTCCATTTTTCTGATGCCAGCTGCCCGGAAATCCTGCCATCAGTTCACTCCTCCCGTTTCACATAACTCTGAGGTGTGTATGGGTCAATGAGTCTAGGGATGTCATTTTTTAAGGATGAGTTATTCAAAGGAAAAAAGTTCTCTTCATCTGTCTCGGTGAGCTTCTCTGGAAAACAGTTTTCTCATTGCCCTCAAGGCCTCAAATCTTTGCTTCACTCTGTTCCAGCACCTCACTGTATTACAATTACTTTTGCTCAAAATCCACACTTTGAACACTCCATTCCTCCCAATATACTCTGTCATGAATTAAAGGAGTTTTTTCAAAACACAATTGTCCATCTCCATAACTTTAACATAAAAATATTTCAGCTTATAAAGCATCTCCTTATTCTCTCTTCCCCATCTAAAACTTAACTCTTTTCTTCACTGTCTTCTTCATGTAGATTGTCTCTTTCTTTCTCTCTCAGTCTGTCTGGGAGAAAGGAGTAATCTGTACGTTTTATCCAGGTAGTAAAAGAATTAAAGTCTTGGAAAAGCTGCAAGTGTTCATGGTGTCAGGTTTCAGTCCAGCAGCAGAAACTGAAAACTAAGCCAGGCTGGCCGGCTCGGTTTCTCCCCACCCCCCTCTGCGGCCTTGTCCGGCCTGGATGGGGAGGAAGGAGGCCGAGACAGAGCCTCGTTACCTTGTCAGAAGCCAGAAACCCAAAGAGAACTAGAGAGCTCTGGCATTAAATCTTAAGGTGGTGTTCACAAGCTGATCTTGCTTTTCAATGGTCAAAACTACTGTCAATTCTTAGAAATTACCGATAATTGGTCAGGAGAAAAGACTCCCATCAGCCACCAGCAGCTTCAATTCCATAGCTCCCAAAGCTATCTTAAAGGTAAAGTCACCCCATGACAGTGATGAAGCTTAAAAGATGACAGCCAAGGCCAATCAGCAGATACACTGCTACTGCGTGAAGAGGAAAGAGACTTGCAAATTAACTTAAAAGAGGAGTGGGGAGGTGTGGCAACTGGGCATGTGGGCGCCACTCAAGGAGCATCCAGTCCATAAGCAGCCCCTGGCTGTGGGTGTCTGCGCAGACAGAGTCAAAATGGAGTGACAGCTTGGTGGGGAAAGTGCTGGGGGGTGAGCTGTGGGTAGTGGGGACCTGTTTGATGAGCTCCTCCGTCCAACTGGTTGCTGATAGGTGTGACACGTTGTGTGCTATCCAGCAGCCGGCAACAGCAGCTGGGCCAAGGTGTGGGAAGAGGCCAAGCATGGAGCAGAGTGGGAACCATGCTGTAGGCCTTGGTGGCAGCACACACCTGTAGGGCATGAGGTTGGCCCAGAGGGTCCCTGGAGTGTGTGTGGGGTGAAAAGGGAGGAAATGAGGAGCAGGGGGGAAGGGCCAGGTGTCACTAGGAGAATGCCATTACATGCCACAGGTGACATATAAGAAAAGAGTGGGAACAAAATAGTAATTCCTGCAGATCACCCTCACATCTTCAGAACAAGAGGCCACCAAGAAAAACTGCATATCTGCTTCCTGGTGTTGTCCTGAATGTGACCTCATTACCTGATGTACATTACCTGGGAGTATCTCTCACCAGCCCATGGGCATTCCCCAGTTCAGGTCCACAAACCTGTTCACCTCAGCCTATTCTTCGGGCCTCTGACAGGGACTGTCCAGCTCAGCTACACCATGGAAGGGAAGGGAGCCACCCAACACTCTGGATATTCGAGAGTTTTATTGCCAGGCTGGTTGAAATAAAGTTATGAAACAAAGTATCCTCTAACTAATTCTACATCTTCATCATTCTGTACTCCAAGTGACCTCTTCATGCTGACTGCTTGTGACACAGGATGACCGTTCAGCATACGCTTTCCTTACCCAGTTCCACGGCATAACAGCTTTTCCTCTCGCAGCTTATAGAGAACTAGGAAAATACATCCATTTCCAGAAAAGAAAGCTCAGAGATACCTCTATTAATAACAATTTATTCCAAGGAAAATAATCCTCCACTATCTAAGTTTTCTAAAATCTATAGCTTTAAGAAGTTGCTCCCTGTTTTCCCTAAATTATAAATGAAGCATTTGAGAAAAAAAACCCCAAAAAATGGAGGTATAAACTAAAAACAGCTAAACGGACAACATCCATACAACATAAACTTCCTATCCAATGAACACCTCCTTAAAAAACTGAATGGATGGCTGACTCTCTGTCCAAACACCATCCATCCCCTTTGAGCTCCTTGTGGCTGGCGCGGCTGCTTGGCTGAGAGGATCAGAGCAGCCAGGCTGGAGGCAGGCCTGAGGTCACAAACGGATGCTGCCCAGAGAAAAAACAAAGAAGAAAGGGAGCCTTACTTTCCAAGATGACAAATTTCTCTTCAGCCTCTGGCGCTCAAGCAGGATTCCTGGGCTAGCAGCAAGACACAGCAAGAGGACCCAGACCACCCTCTGTCCCTGCGCCTTCCTGTGCTGCTCACCTGGCTCAGCCAGGCCCATGTGGCCCACAGTCCCCTTCATCCCTTCCTGCGGCTGTCCTCAGCTCCCAGGGCTTCTTGCCGCTTCCCTTTTGGTTACCTGCAGGAGCTCCTGGGCAGACCAGCGCCTGTCTTGGTCCGCCTGCAGGCAGCAGTGCAGAAAGTCATGCAGGAGAGCCGAGTGGTGCCTGGGGTTTTGCAGTTTTGGGGGCCCATTCCATTCGATCAGTTCAAAAACCTATGAGAAAGGCAAGGAGACAAAGTTCAAGCTGCTCCTTTCCTAGGCACAACAGCTCTCTCCACACACAGCCCCCTTGGGAAGCTGCAGCTTACCCTGAACTTGGGCTCCCTCTGGTAAGGAGCTTCCCCTTCCACCATCTCCAGCCCCGTGATGCCCAGGGACCAGATGTCCACTTTGGGGCCGTAGGCTTCTCCTCTCACCACTTCTGGTGCCATCCAGCTGGGAGTGCCGACGCTGGAGTGGCAGCTGCTGCACTCAGGGCTGAGCCGAGCACAGAGACCAAAGTCAGCTGAAGAGAAAGACAAAGCCTGTCAAAGGCAGTGACCGCTGGCAAACCAGCCACAAGCATTGCCCATTTCAAGCCTGACAAGGCCATGCTCAATCTTTTTCCTGGCTGGAAAAGCTGCGGTGCTCTGGCTGCAGCCGGGGAAATCTGAAACTTCACTTCAGAACTGCCCTCAGCATGCCCCTGCTGGCCAAGCAGCGCTTCTGGGCGACTGGCAGTCACCCCAAAAGCAGCCCCACAGCACATGCTGGCTACGCTGCGCCTGACCGCCCATACCCACCCAATTTGACCGATCCGTCGGTGCCCATAAGAACGTTGCTGCTCTTGATGTCTCTGTGGATGACTCGGTGGGAATGAAGGAAATGCAGTCCTTGCAGGCACTGAGAGAGAAAGGAGGGAGGCAAAGGAAAAAGTTCAGGCCACCAGATTTCATGCCACAAGAAAGGAAAGGGCTCGAGGAGATTGACAGCTTTCTCAGGCAATTTGGGAGCGCAGCATCATGCTGCTGGCTAGAGGAAGAGCTTGCTGCTTCAGCACTCTTACAAGTGTTTTCTGTCTTTTGAAGCAAAGGCATCTGAGCTTCCAAGAGCCCCTCCTGCCTTTGGTAGGAAGCACGGGACCTTTGGCTGTACCTTTGGCTGGACCAGCAGCATGACAATGATTTTATTGTCAGAGCTGCGGCAGCAGAGGAGGAAGCAGCACGATAGACCTGTTGCAGAATCCAGTGCCATCTGGGCTGCAGTGCTATCCTTTGAAGCTCAGCACATCCCTCTAGCTAGAAATTCTGCCAGCAGCGCACTGCCTTGGAGCAGCAAGGGGCTCAGGAGAGACAGACACGCTCCAGGCAAACGCAGAGAGGCAGAGGTGCCAAGAGGAAACAAGTGAAAGCAAGCGAGTGAGCGAGCACGAGCGTCAGAGGACAGACGCCACGTAAGAGTTTGAGAAGAGAGCCTGGACAAGTGCGGGGACAATGGCAAGCAGTTCCCTTCAGATGCTCGCTCTTCTCCTGGTGTCGTGACAGCAGCACCAAAACAAAGGTGTGAGCAAGAAACCTCTGCTCTTCTTCCCCACCGGCTGACAAGGACCATCCTGTGCAGGCCAGGGCCGGCACAGGCGCCATCCCTCACCTCCCGACAGACAGCGCCTATCTGTCCTTCCTCCAGGTACACTGCCCTGAGCACATCGAACAGCGTGCCGCTGTCCATGAACTCCATCGCCAGCCAGAGTTCCTCGTCCACCAGGTAGCTGCAAGAAGAAAAAGCATGGCATGGAGAGAGAGCAACAGGCACAGCTCAGTCACCTGAGGGCCTGAGCCTGGCTTTTGCCACTGCTCTCCAAGCTACATGTGCCGGAAGAGATTCTTGCACACCAAGGGCAGCCTTCTCCCATGTGCTGGACACGACTAGAGAAAGCACAAGCAGCTCTGCTTTCTGCCCCTGACCAAAGGGCTTGCTCATTTCTGCCTTGCACTATCTGAAGGAACGCTGACATGCCAACACCCCAACCTGTCTAAGTAGGTAACAATATTGGGATTCCTGTTGTCCCTCATGGCCACGATTTCATTGACAGCCAGCTCCTCGCAATCCTCCTCTTGCAGTGTCATTTTCTTGATAGCCACCTAAAAGGACATAGAGGACCTCTCACTGGACAAGTCCCTCCTTGCAGCAGATCACAAGGAACATGGAGCGAGTGCTTGTGCAACGACGCAGCTGAGCTCTACCAAACTGCCTTGTTACTAGACAGCAGAGCTTAAGAGAAGCACCAAAGCCTGTCCCAAATTCAGCATTCTTCATGCTGAGCCCAGTCTGTGCTGCAGACGAGCAGCCTCTGCTGCAGAGAGGGAGCGGCCGGCCAAAGCTCCAGCCGCGGTTTCCAGCATCGGGGGAAGCGCTCTGGAGCTGCACAATCCGCCAGGGCTACTGACCCTTTACCTGTTTCCCTGTGCTGGCGTACAGGGGTCTATAAACAGCTCCAAAGCCCCTAGAAAGAGAAGGGCAGCAGAAAAACCCCTTTAGTCCCTGGCACTGAAAGCCAGCCTAAGCAGGAGATCTCCCCACGCTGCCTGCTGCACTCTTTCCAAACAGCCTTGCTGCAGTGTCTCTTCAGCCAAGAGCACATCAGCCCAGCTGCCCTGGGATCTTCAGGGTGTCCAAGAGAACACTCGGGTCCAACATGAAGACCAAGAGCTGCTGCAAATCTCCAAGGCACACGCGCACTTGCTTCTGAAGCAAACACGCTGAAAAGTGGGGCTCTTAAGCCTGTGTGTCTGTGTGTGTGTGTGGGTGTATAAAGTGGACAAGACTAACTTTGGAAACACTGTCTTTGAGAACTATTATGTGGCAGCTCTTGTTTGGCAAGGTGCTCTGCTGGCCCATCAAGCTTGCAGGGCCAGCAGATCCTCCAGCTCCTGCTCCTTGCCACAAGCAAGACACTGCCAGCACCAAGTTGTCTTGGATGATGCCATCTGCTTGCTCTTGACTCAGCAGTCGTGAGAGGTGGCAGGAGGAAAAGCCAGCGCTGGACCGTGTTTGGACTTGGCGCTGGATATGGCACCAGTGAAAGCCCTGGCCCACGCTGTTGTACAAGGAGCAGACCTTGTCACGCTTACCCTCGTCCAAGTTCTTCAAGGGCCTTGTATTTTCTCCTTGGCTCACCCGGGCTCACAACGCTCCCTGAAAGACAGAAGCAGTGCAAGGCGCTCACTCGCAAGCAGAGACGCCGCTTCCCAGACCATCCAAAATGCAGCCCCACTGCCAGTCGGCAGCTTGAGAGCTCCCTGGGGCTGAGCCACTGGCTAAGTGCCAGCCTTGTGCTCAAGCAGAAACAATTGCTGCCTGTGTCTTTGCCGCAGAAGGCAGCTCAGGCAGAGGCAAGCCAATCCCATCTGCCTGAAAGAACAGCAACACTCTACTCTAACCCGCCAGAAATGCAGCAGACGTACTCAGTCTCATCAGCCTCTGCTCCTCTCTCGTCTCGGCCAGCTGGACGGGGCTGCCGGACCCAGTGCCGGCAGCTGCGGGAGCCTTTTGGGGCCGTGGAGGGACAGCAGCTGGGGGCTTGATGTGCTCTTGCTCCTTTTCAGCCTCTTCCTCAACAAGAGAGGGAGCCAGAGGAAGTGCCAACCTGCCGTTGAGCCCTGCAGACAGACAGCAGTGAGACACACTGGCAGCAGCCAATCCTTCAGGAGATGCTTGCTCTTCAGCTGCCTAAGCACCTGGACTACTAACCTGGACTAAAGGGAAATCCTAGACTTTGATACAAGTGGCATTCTGAGCCATCCAAACCCTATGGAGATGGCTGAATTGGGTGCTCCTCCATCTTGCCATGCATTTCATCTTCCACCCCAGCTACAACCAGCAAGACACCTTTTGGGCTGCCACACTTGGCTTTCCTCTCTTGAAAGGCTCTTCACCAGAAAATTAGGAAAGAGCCAGTGCTTCCTTTGCTCCCGCTGACACGAACAGGCAGCTGGGCTTTCATTCAGCCTCCCCGCCTGCCGCTCTCCACTCCAGTGCAACAGGCCAAGCTCACAGCTTGCTGCACAATTCTTACATGCCAGCAAGGTCAGAGGCTCCTTTGCCACTCACTCACCAAAGGACACGCTTGTCTCCATCCACGGGTGAAGTGACCTGCAGCCAGCAAGGGGAAAGGAAGCAGAGGCCCTCAGAGAAGCGCCTGTGATGGCGACTCCCACCAGACAAGTCAGTCCCAACAGAGAGCATTTCCCTTCCCCAACATCCCTCCCATCTGAGGGGACCAACAGCTCTGTCCCACAGCAAGCAAGCAAGCAAGCAAATAACAAGGACACCGTACTAGGCTCTGTCTACATTTGGGCCTCTTTTGCCAGGAGAGGAATAGAAAGAGAGGCATGGAAATGCCAGTTGTTCATTAACAGCCAGAGCTTCTGTTCTGCCCAGAAGCACAAGCAGCTTTTCACATCAATTGCATGCAGGGATTCCCATGCATTGGCTGAAGACACTAGCCCAGCCAAGCGGCCCCGAAGGGCCCCTCAGCTGTGGTAGCCCTCTGCTCGAGCAGCCCGGGAACAGCTCCCGGCTTCAGCAGCAAAGCCTAACTGGCTTTGGAGTTTGCGCTTGGTGGCCAAGGCAATCGCTCTCTTTGGCACACCAGAAAGGCTCAAGCCACGCAGCCAAGGCTTCTCACGGCAGGAGTTGGAGCAAATGACTCTTTCCCTCAGCCCTGGAGAGAATCCTGGAGATTTTACAGGTACTACTGAGCATCTCTCCTTCGAGTTTGCAATTTGCAGCTTGAAGCAGCAAGCTGAGGAAATGACAGACTGCGCTGCCACGTGCTCTCCCGTGGAGAGAGCACGGCTGCAGCAGGTTCCAATGCAAATACTCTCCACCCTGCAGCGAGTACAGACACCCCCTTTGCAGCCGATGCCCCTGGCAGGAGCTTTAGCAAAGGAAAGCTGGCGTCTTCATGGCAATTTTGTTGCCAGATATACCAGCTCCCTCCATGGGCATAAGGAACAGAGTGAAGCACAAGGCAAGGAGATGTTCCCCCCAGGAGTGAGCTTTCCTTACGTGTCAGGTGATCCAGGAAGTAGCCAGAATATGCCATGGAGAAAACAGTGCAAACCACGGCACAGACTTTCTTGATCATTTTAGCAGTGCTGTGCGGGTTTGCACAATGCGCAATGCCACCCAAGGGAAATAGCAAGACTCCTCGCGGGGTGCAGGCCGTCTGCTGAGAACTCCTTGCTCACAAGGGTCCTCCTGCAGCGAGCCAGCGAGCGCAAGAGCTGCCCTGGAACAACGGGGCCTTGCGCGTACCAGGACAACGGCACGCTGACAGCACTGTGATGTGGCAGCGCTCCCTTGACCTCACAATAGCAGCCGCTCTGGCTTTGCTGCCGTCGTTGTGCCCGGCAACCCAATCTCGTGTCCAGCCGAGGCAAAAGAGGAGCCTGGGAAATTGCCCTCAGTCATAAAGCAGCCAAAGAAATCCTTACAGGGCGTGCTGCAGTGCTCCATCCCTAGCCCAAGGAGAGGCCTGGGAAGGAAGAAGGATGTCAAGAAAGCAAAGCAAACCCCACTTCTGGGCCCCAAGGCTATGACTGAGAGCAAGTGTACTTCTTCTGGCTGGCCTCTTAGTTGCTTCTCAAAAGCCGAACTTTTGCTCTGAGAATTAAACCTTCTGATCTTGTTTTCATAGTTTTTAGACACTTTCTGAGGATAGTAACTATAAACATAGATGTTTATACATTCCATTAAAGATATGTCTTTTAATACATATTTCTCATGACCAGTGTGGTTGGGAAGGTAGTAACCTGACTATCCAATCCCTGGTCATTGTTGAGGATCTCTGAGTACTGAAACAACAGAATAAATCTCTCTTTTTCTATCACACATTGAGCTGTGTTTGTGTGAATCATTTTGTGTCCAACAGCGACACCTAACTTCTTCCATGACTGGGGGACAAAAGAAGCAAAGCAAATGAATTTCCAGCAGTATTGCAGTGTGCAGCTGCTTCTTGAGCACGTAGGTGCCTGCTGAACTTTGCTGTGACTTTGCTGGGAGCCTGAGCTCCCTTTGTGGCGGGGAGGTGTTGGCTTATCTCCTGACGCCAAGCTCCTCTCCTCGCTCGTGCCGTTTCTCTGGCAAATGAAGGCCAGAGAACACCCAGAGGAGCTGTCGGCTGATTCTCGGGCCGCCTCAGTTTTGTTGTGTTGGAGCTCGGGTAGCAGCCACTGCTCTGCAATGCCACGCAGATGTGGAGCCCAAAGAAGGCCCCTTTTGAACCCACTCTCACAGACGTTTGCCCAGACTCCATGCTCCCTGCATGATTCCTTGCAGACATTTGGATGGCCACAGCCCAAAGAAAAGGAGACGCCATCATTCCCTTCTCTGGCAAAGGCCCAAGTTAAACACAGGAGGCAGCTTGATGGAGTGGCTGGGAGAGGGTGGGAAAAGGGAACGCAATGCAAGTGCTTTGGAAATCAACTCTGCTCCCGGTGGAATGATGATCCTAGGCTTAGCTTACTTTCCTGCTGACTCAGCCCAGACACATGCCCTGCTGGTGGACAGCACAGTGTCTTGGAGGAGCTTTCCACTGGGCTCTTCACACTTGGCATGCTGAGGGTGGCATTTGAAACTTCCAACAATTGCTGAATGGCTCGGCTCTACCCTGCAGTTCTATTGCTGCAAATCTGCAGTAGTTAGCCAGGAGAGTTGCCTCCATATGAAAGCATCTCTTTGGCCCCAGTTTCTAGGTGCTGTGCTGACCGAGAGATGGGACTCTAAAGGAGGACAGCAAAAAGTAACCTAAGCAGGAAGCTTTGGCCAAAAGAAATGCAAAGCCGAGCAAGAAGAAGTCTGAGGTTGATTGGAAGTGCAAGGAGAAAAGAGGTTGAAGCGGTTTCTTGAAGTCCTTGAAGTCACTGAAGTCATCTCTTGATTTCAAGGTTCAGATGATGTCCCATTGCAGCCTCAAGCAGTGATAGCCCTAAGTAGTGAGAGCCCCAAGCAAAAAATTTTCCACCCCTTACAGAATCATTTGTGTTCCAAAATCACATGGTTTTAAACAACTTGATACTTTGAAAGCTTGTACCTAGACACAGCACATGCTGTACTTTTCCCAGCTCTTCCCTTCCCATCCACGGGTGCCTATGCCATGGGCTGTAGCTCTGCAAGGCCAGAACAGAAGCTCAAGTGTGCTCTCTGTTGCGTCCCTCATTTGTTTTCCCATACCCAGGCAGCTCACATCAAGCAGCTGTAGGGCTGTAGGGCTGAGGGAAGGAAGAAGGACACCTCACCACGGAGAGGCGCGTGCAGGGCCCCAGACCCCCTTGAGTAGAGCGCTTTGGTGCCCCAGAGGTTTACAGGAGGGAATCCTTAGGAAGCCTTAGTGCCATTTCAGCCCTCCTTTCCTCTCCCATGTCAAGTGATGGCCTGGAGCGGGGGACAAGCAGGGCCTGCTCCCTCCTGCTGCCCCGCTGTCAGCTGCAGCTGGCCCTGGGGGACGACAGGGCACGGGGGACAACATCTCTACAGGGCAGGTGGGCTGGGCTGGGGCAGGGCCCCAGTGTGAAGGGGAGAGCCTTGGGCCTCTGGCAAGCAGCGCAAAGCCACGAAGCCCACAGCCTGGCCAGAGTGCACAGCTCCGAAGGCACTGTCTGCACGGTGTGGCAAGGAAAGGAACCTAGCAGGGCTCTGGAGGCTTTTGGGCTTTTACTGCCAGTCTTGCTGAAACCCAGGGCTGAAACAGAGCCTCTTCTGGCTACTTCATCATATTCACCTTCATCATTCTCTCCTCTGGGTGGCCTGTTCAGGCTGACAGCTCGTAGCACGTGCATGCTCCGCTTCTACTGAGTCCCAGCTTTTGCTTTGATAGCTTCATTCTTACTATGACAATTCTCTCTTTTCTCCTAAAAGGCTACTCCTGAGCTTCCCTACAACAATACTCTACTCTGAGCTAAACATTAATGAAGCTTGCTATGCTCTAGTGTCCTAACTAAAAGCGGCTAAGTTAAGAAAATGACAAAACATTAAATTTTCCTCTGCGTGGCTCAGCTCCTCATAAAGTGCAGGGGATGGCTGACTCTCTGCCTAAACACCATCCATCACTAGCGGCCAGACAATGAGAGGTGGCGGTGGGCACGAGGGGACACTGCCGGCCAATGAGAGATGCTCGGGGCAGAGCTGAAGCCGAGGGGCAGTTACGGTGTGAAAAGGGGCGGAGTCACATGGGGCAAGTCAAGGGAAAGGGGGCGTGGTGAGCGTTGTCCCCTGCAGGACTGTGACTGGAGGGGACACTCGGTGCCCCCTGATGGCCCTCATGTGTCACCTGCAGGGCAGTAAACTTATGCTCTAACACCACCCTGACAACCAGGCCATGGCGCTGAGAGCCACATCCAGTCACAAGAAACCAAGGTCGAAATCTTGGTCGAGAAACCAAGGTCGAAATCTTGGTCGAGTTTCTTTTCTTTAAGGGCAGTTGTGAACGGCCTGCTCTGTTTACCAGCTGAAAACTCTTATTTCTGTCTTAAACTTAACCCAAAATGGGTTAATTGTCACTTGTGCTTATGGACCATTGATTTCTTTGCACCCTTTATGCTGAGTCCCTGGTGTTTATTTCCTCTGTGGTTTCAGCCTGCCTCAGTATCTCCTACAAGTAGGGATAACATGGTTTTGGGGATCCCAGGCAGAGGGGTGAGGTGTTAATGGCCTGGGGGTCCTGATGAGCCCACTCCACTCACAAGGGTTGTGTCATTACCATGGGGATCCCATGGAGAGGGGGTGCAATCACTACAGGAGGGACTCAGAATTTGGGGAGGTTAATGCTCCTGAGTATCCTGATGTCCTGTGTCCCCAGTGGCCTGACCCCCAACCTGGGGTTGCCACAGTTCTGGGAGTCCTACTGAGCTCAAGCTCCCCTCAGGAATAAGTGTCCCAGAACTGTGGGTGCTGCAAAGTTCAGGAGACAAATAAGAAAAGACAGGATCCTGGTTGTGGGGATCCCACAGCCATCCCAAGTGTCCCAGAGGTCCTGCCAAACCCTTCATGCCCAGGAAAGAGGATCCCATGGGGGTCCCAGGGTGTAAAAGACAGTCTGAAGGTTCTCTCATCTGTGTCACAACCATCTCAAGGACAGAGAGGAAGACCCTGAATATCACAAGGGATTTGGTTTAGGGGTTTGGGCCTAGCTGAGGTGGATGTTTGCTAAGTGATTGTTTGCAGGTGGTTGCACGGTACACTGCCCTCGTTCCTGCTGGTGAACAAAGGCTTGGTTTGCTCCCTACCCTACCCCCACCCCCTGCACAATGGAATTCTTCACAATGATCATCAATCTCCTCTGGTTTTGGCCCTATGCCCCCTGCTTTGTAATATCTATAAAATTACACCCCAAACTTACCTTCCTTTAGATCTCCCCAATGGACAGAAGACCCTGCGTTGATGGATGGCTGAGTGGACCTCGACGTTGGTAGCTATAATCCCCTTACTCTCTTTTCCTTCTGCTTTGCTTTCTCCTCTTTCCCCTCTATCACGTATTAGTGCTGATGAGCACTCAATAAAGTGTGTTTCACTGTTTAAGTCCCTGGTTTCCTGATAATCTTTTGTACTCTAAAATCAAATCAAAGAACCACATCAGGAATCCCACCGTGGGGATTGTGACACCCTGGCAGCAAATTCTTGGATATCATGAGTGTAATTAATGGAAATGATTCATGCTAACTAAATTGTTACTATTTAGAAAGTTATTATTAGTAGCAATCAAGGGAATTAGTGTTACAAGGCAGATGTACCCCTTTACAGGTGTTACATGTTAAAATTAAGGCACAGGATGTAGTTTTGAGCTAAGTAATGTCTCAAGACAAAATTGACCTTGAGATGGACAAAGTTGGAATGCCTTTAGGCATGAAGCCTGAAATTATGAAATGTAAGACTAATTAGTGGAACATAATGCTTACTTCCATAATACAACGCTGAGTGTGCACACGCAAACTGTAAGGCCATCCAGAGGACAATGAGGATGAGTGTAAGCCTTCATCCAAAAGCCCCCCAAAAGAAGACTGAAGACCCCCTAGCAACAAGTGAGGCATGCGCCGTGAAGAATAGTGATGGAAAATTAGAGAATCAGAAATAGGATGAGATTTGCAGGAAACATTAAGGGATATGTATAAGCATACAGTATATAAGTATATAAGTTTAGTTTGAATTGCTTCGTTTTGTACGTGAGGTAGGGCGGGAAGCCCTCTCCATACCCCGGTCAGTTTTGCTTATGCTTTAATCATACTTAATTACTGGCAAGCTATATTCATATATGTGTCTATATATATATATATACACACATATATATATGTTGTAGTGCATCTAAAAATCTTGGTACCTCCCAAGGGTAAAACTCACCTCTGGTTTGTGTAATGTTAGTTCCTACCTGAAAACCTTCTTTCCCTTTCCCCTTCCCATTGGCTGTGACCTCCCTTCATCCCCTGACTACCCCTGCCCCCTGGTATGAGACACCCACAGCATTTCGCTCTCTCTCTTGCCCCGGATGGACGACAGACAATAAACCCGGGATTAATCCAGCAAATTTGAGCCTCCTGTGTCTAGATACTTTGAGTCTGTGTTGTATCCACTCCAGGACCTCCTCCTCCGCCTGTGCCCTGAGATGAGCAGGCTCTCACCACAGGGGATGGGACAGAGGGGTCCCATTGGGAAGAAGGACTGCAACAGAGTGGCACTGGCTGAGGGCGAACAAGCCCACCTTCAAAGGCTTATCCGAGCCAGGGTGAGCCATTCTTTGGAGACTTTGGATGCAGTTTAAAACAGCAAAAAAAAGTTTCCAAAAAGGAGACGAAAATCCTCCAGCACCAGGGGACCAATTCCANTCCCAAATGCAGCATTCTGCATGCTGAGCCCAATCTGTGCTTCTGACGAGCAGCCTCTGCTGCAGAGACGGAGCGGCCGGCCAAAGCTCCAGCCACGGTTTCCAGCAGCGGGGGAAGCACTCCGGAGCTGCACAATCCGCCAGGGCTGCTGACCCTTTACCTGTTTGCCTGTGCTGGCGTCCAGGGCTCTATAAACAGCTCCAAAGCCCCTAGAAAGAAAAGGGCAGCAGAAAAAGCCCTTTAGTCCCTGGCATTGAAAGCCAGTCTAGGCAGGGGATCTCCCCACGCTGCCTGCTGCACTCTTTCCAAAGAGCCTGGCTGCAGTGTCTCTTCAGCCAAGAGCACATCAGCCCAGCCGCCCTGGGACCTTCAGGGTGTCCAAGAGAACACTCGGGTCTAACATGAAGACCAAGAGCTGCTGCAAATCTCCAAGGCACACATGCACTTGCTTCCGAAGCAAACGCACAAGAAAGTGGGGCTCTTAAGCCTGTGTGTCTGTGTGTGTGTGTGCGTGTATAAAGTGGACAAGACAGACTTTGGAAACACTGTCTTTGAGAACTATTATCTGGCAGCTCTTGTTTGGCAAGGTGCTCTGCTGGCCCATCAAGCTTGCAGGGCCAGCAGATCCTCCAGCTCCTGCTCCTTGCCACAAGCAAGACACTGCCAGCACCAGGTTGTCTTGGATGATGCCATCTGCTTGCTCTTGACTCGGCAGTCGTGAGAGGTGGCAGGAGGAAAAGCCAGCGCTGGACCGTGTTTGGACTTGGCGCTGGATATGGCAGCAGCGAAAGCCCTGGCCCACGCTGTTGTACAAGGAGCAGACCTTGTCACGCTTACCCTCGTCCAAGTTCTTCAAGGGCCGTGTATTTGCTCCTTGGCTCACCCGGGCTCACAACGCTCCCTGAAAGACAGAAGCAGTGCAAGGCGCACTGCAGAGACGCCGCTTCCCAGACCATCCAAAATGCAGCCCCCACTGCCAGTCGGCAGCTTGAGAGCTCCCTGGGGCCGAGCCACTGGCTAAGTGCCAGCCTTGTGCTCAAGCAGAAACAATCGCTGCCTGTGTCTTTGCCGCAGAAGGCAGCTCAGGCAGAGGCAAGCCAATCCCATCTGCCTGAAAGAACAGCAGCATTCTACTCTAACCCGCCAGAAATGCAGCAGACGTACTCAGTCTCATCAGCCTCTGCTCCTCTCTCGTCTCGGCCGGCTGGGCGGGGCTGCCGGACCCAGTGCCGGCAGCTGCGGGAGCCTTTTGGGGCCGTGGAGGGACAGCAGCTGGGGGCTTGATGTGCTCTTGCTCCTCTTCAGCCTCTTCCTCCACAAGAGAGGGAGCCAGAGGAGGTGCCGACCCTGCCCTTGAGCCCTGCAGACAGACAGCAGTGAGACACACTGGCAGCAGCCAATCCTTCAGGAGCTGCTTGCTCTTCAGCTGCCCAAGCACCTGGACTAAGGGGAAATCCTAGACTTTGATACAAATGGCATTCTGAGCCATCCAAAGCCTATGGAGATGGCTGAATTGGGTGCTCCTCCATCTTGCCATGCATTTCATCTTGCACCCCGGCTACAATCAGCAAGACACCTTTTGGGCTGCCACACTTGGCTTTCCTCTCTTGGAAGGCTCTTAATGGGAAAATTAGGAAAGAGCCAGTGCTGCCTTTGCTCCCGCTGATGCCAACAGGCAGCTGGGCTTTCCTTCAGCCTCCCCGCCTGCCGCTCTCCACTCCAGTGCAACAGGCCAAGCTCACAGCTTGCTGCACAATTCTTACACGCCAGCAAGGTCAGAGGCTCCTTTGCCACTCACTCACCAAAGGACACGCTTGTCTCCATCCACGGGTGAAGTGACCTGCAGCCAGCAAGGGGAAAGGAAGCAGAGGCCCTCAGAGAAGCGCCTGTGCTGGCGACTCCCACCAGACAAGTCAGTCCCAACAGAGAGCATTTCCCTTCCCCAACATCCCTCCCATCTGAGGGGACCAAGAGCTCTGTCCCACAGCAAGCAAGCAAGCAAGCAAGCGAAGGACAAGGACACCGTACTAGGCTCTGTCTACATTTGGATGTATTTTGCCAGGGGAGAAATAGAAAGAGAGGCATGGAAATGCCAGTTGTTCATTAACAGCCAGAGCTTCTGTTCTGCCCAGAAGCACAAGCAGCTTTTCACATCAATTGCATGCAGGGATTCCCATGCATTGGCTGAAGACACTAGCTCAGCCAAGCGGCCCCAAAGGGCCCCTCAGCTGTGGCAGCCCTCTGCTCGAGCAGCCCGGGAACAGCTCCCGGCTTCAGCAGCAAAGCCTAACTGGCTTTGGAGTTTGCGCTTGGTGGCCAAGGCAATCGCTCTCTTTGGCACACCAGAAAGGCTCAAGCCACACAGCCAAGGCTTCTCACGGCAGGAGTTGGAGCAAAAGACGCTTTCCTTCAGCCCTGGAGAGAATCCCGGAGTTTTTACAGGTCCTACTGAGCATCTCTCCTTCGAGTCTGCAATTTGCAGCTTGAAGCAGCAAGCTGAGGAAATGACAGACTGCGCTGCCACGCGCTCTCCCGTGGAGAGAGCACGGCCGCAGCAGGTTCCAATGCAAATACTCTCCACCCTGCAGCGAGTACAGACACCCCCTTTGCAGCCGATGCCCCTGGCAGGAGCTTTAGCAAAGGAAAGCTGGCATCTTCATGGCAATTTTGTTGCCAGCTATACTGGCTCCCTCCATGGGCATAAGGAGCAGAGTGAAGCACAAGGCAAGGAGATGTTCCCTCCAGGAGTGAGCTTTCCTTACCTGTCAGGTGAGCCAGGAAGTAGCCAGAATATGCCACGGAGAAAACACTGCAAACCACGGCACAGACTTGCTCGATCATTTTAGCAGTGCTGTGTGGGTTTGCACAATGCGCAATGGCACCCAAGGGAAATAGCAAGACTCCTCTCGGGGTGCAGGCCGTCTGCTGAGAACTCCTTGCTCACAAGGGTCCTCCTGCAGCGAGCCAGCGAGCGCAAGAGCTGCCCTGGAACAACGGGGCCTTGCGCGCACCGGGACAACGCCGCGCTGACGGCACTGTGACGTGGCAGCGCTCCCTTGACCTCACAATAGCAGCAGCTCTGGCTTTGCTGCTGTCGTTGTGCCCGGCAACCCAATCTTGTGTCCAGCCGAGGCAAAAGAGGAGCCTGGGAAATTGCCCTCAGTCATAAAGCAGCCAAAGAAATCCTTACAGGGCGTGCTGCAGTGCTCCAGGCTTGCTGGGGCAGCTCAGCAAATGCAGCCATCCTGCAGCTCCCTAGCCCAAGGAGAGGCCTGGGAAGGAAGAAGGATGTCAAGAAAGCAAAGCAAACCCCACTTCTGGGCCCCAAGGCTATGACGAAGAGCAAGTGTGCTTCTTCCGGCTGGCCTCTTAGTTGCTTCTCAAAAGCCGAACTTTTGCTCTGAGAATTAAACCCTCTGATCTTGTTTTCACAGTTTTTACCCACTTTCTGAGGATAGTAACTATAAACATAGATGTTCATCCATTCCATTAATGATATGTCTTTTAATAGATATTTCTCATGACCAGTGTGGTTGGGAAGGCAGTAACCTAACTATCCAAGCCCTGGTCATTGTCGAGGATTTGTAAATACTGAAACACAGAATAAATCTCTCTCTTTTTCTATCACACATTGAGCTGTGTTTGTGGGAATCATTCTGTGTCCAACAGCGACACCGAACTTCTTCCATGACACGTGGGGGACAAAAGAAGCAAAGCAAATGAATTTCCAGCAGTATTGCAGTGCGCAGCTGCTTCTTGAGCACGAAGGTGCCTGCTGACCTTTGCTGTGACTGCGCTGGGAGCCCGAGCTCCATTTGTGGCAGGGAGGTGTTGGCTTATCTCCTGACACCAAGCTCCTCTCCTCCCTCGTGCCATTTCTCTGGCAAATGAAGGGCAGAGAACACCCAGAGGAGCTGTCTGCTGATTCTCGGGCCGCCTCAGTTTTGTTGTGTTGGAGCTCGGGTAGCAGCCACCGCTCTGCAATGCCACGCAGATGTGGAGCCCAAAGAAGGCCCCTTTTGAACGGTCCAAATCCCCACTCTCACAGATGTTTGCCCAGGCTCCATGCTCCCTGCAAGATTCCTTGCAGACATTTGGATGGCCACAGCCCAAAGCAAAGGAGATGCCGTCGTTCCCTTCTCTGGCAAAGGCCCGAGTTAAACGCAGGGGGCAGCTTCATGGACTGGCTGGGAGAGGGGGAAAAAGGGAATGCAATGCAAGTCTCTGGAAATCAACTCTGCTCCCGGTGGAATGATGATCCGAGGCTTAGCTTACTTTCCTGCTGACTCAGCCCAGACACATGCCCTGCTGCTGGGGGGCAGCACAGTGTCTTGGAGGAGCTTTCCACTGGGCTCTTCACACTTGGCATGCTGAGGGGGGCATTTGAAACTTTCAGCAATTGCTGAATGGCTCGGCTCTACCCTGCAATTCTAGTGCTGCAAATCTGCAGTAGTTCGCCAGAAGAAATGGATCCTCCATTTGAAAGCATCTCTTTGGCCCCAGTTTCTAGGTGCTGCGCTGACCGAGAGACGGGACTCTAAAGGAGGGCAGCTAAAAGTAGCTTAAGCAGGAAGCTTTGGCTAAAGGAAATGCAAGGCCGAGCAAAAAGAAGTCCGAGGTTGATTGGAAGTGCAAGCAGAAAAGAGGTTGAAGTGGTTTCTTGAAGTGCTTGAAGTCACTGAAGTCATCTCTTGATTTCAAGGTTCAGATGATGTCCCATTGCAGCCCCAAGCAGTGAGAGCCCTAAGTAGTGAGAACCCCAAGCAACAAATTTCCCATCCCTTACAGAATCATTTGTGTTCCAAAACCACATGGTTTTAAACACCTTGATACTTTGAAAGCTTGTGCCTTGATAGAGAACATGCTGTTCTTTGCCCAGCTCTTCCCTTCTCATCAACGGGTGCCTATGCCATGGCTGTAGCTCTGCAAGGCCAGGACAGAAGCTCAAGTGTGCTCTCTGTTGCGTCCCCCATTTGTTTTCCCATACCCAGGCAGCTCACATCAAGCAGCTGTAGGGCTGTAGGGCTGTAGGGCTGAGGGAAGGAAGAAGGACACCTCAGCACGGAAAAGCATGTGCAGGGCCCCAGACCCCCTTGAGTAGAGCGCTTTGGTGCCCCAGAGGTTTACAGGAGGGAAGCCTTAGGAAGCCTTAGTGCCATTTCAGCCCTCCTTTCCTCTCCCATGCCAAGCGATGGCCTGGAGCTGGGGACAAGCAGGGACTGCTCCCTCCTGCTGCCCCGCCATCAGCTGCAGCTGGCCCTGGGGGACACCAGGTCACGGGGGACAACATCTCTACAGGGCAGGTCGGCTGGGCTGGGGCAGGGCCCCAGTGTGAGGGGGAGAGCCTTGGGCCGCTGGCAAGCAGCACAGAGCCACGAAGGCCACAGCTCGGCCGGAGCGCACAGCTCCGAAGGCACCGTCTGCCTTAGGTGCGGTGTGGCAAGGAAAGGAAGCTGGCAGAGCTCTGGAGGCTTTTGGGTTTTTATTGCCAGTCTTGCTGAAATCCAGGGCAGAAACAGAGCCTCTTCTGGCTACTTCATCATCTTCACCTTCATCATTCTCTCCTCCGGGTGGCCTGTTCAGGCTGACAGCTCGTAGCACGTGCATGCTCCGCTTCTACTGAGTCCCAGCTTTTGCTTTGATAGCTTCATTCTCACTATGACAATTCTCTCTTTTCTCCTAAAAGGCTACTCCTGAGCTTCCCTACAACAACAAAACTCTACTCTTATCTAAACATTATTGAAGCTTGCTATGCTCTAGCGTCCTCACTAAAAGCAGCTAAGGTAAGAAACGGACAAAACCTTAGCTGAGCGTGGCTCAGCTCCTCATAAAGAGCAGCGGATGGCTGACTCTCTGCCTAAACACCATCCATCCCTAGCTGCCGGCCAATAGAGGTTGTGGTGGGCGCAAGGGGACGCCAGCGGCCAATGAGAGATGTGCACCTTGGGGGCGGAGCCAAAGCCGAGGAGGCGGGTAGGGCGTGGAAAGGGGCAGAGTCACATGGGGCGAGTCAAGGGGAAGGGGGCGTGGTGAGCGTTGTCTCCACACGTGTTGTGTCCCCCGCAGGGCTGTGACTGGAGGGGACACTCGGTGACCCCTGATGGCCCTCATGTGTCACCTGCAGGGCAGTAAACTTACGCTCTAACACCACCCTGAAAACCAGGCCAAGGTGCTGAGAGACACATCCAGTCATAAGAAACTCAGGCGGAAATCTTGGTCGAGTTACTTTTCCTTCGAGGCGCTTGTGAAGGGTCTGCTCTGTTTACCAGCTGAAAACTCTGATTTCTGTCTTAAACTTAACCCAAATCAGTTCATTGCCACTTGTGCGTATGGACACTTGATTTCTTTGCACTTTTTACATTGAATCCCTGGTGTTTATTCCCTCTGTGTTTCCAGCCTGCCTCACTATCCCCTACAAGGAGGGATAACATGATTTTGGGGATCCGAAGGCAGAGGGGTGAGGTGTTGATGGCCTGGCGGTCCTGATGAGCCCACCCCACTCACAAGGGGTGTCATTACCATGGGGATCCCATGGAGAGGGGGTGTAATCACTACAGGAGGGACTCAGAATTTGGGGAGGTGTCGTAGTTTTAAACTAAGAAAATTACTTATTTCTTGCTGTGAGATATGGATTAGAAGAAGAGCAAAACAGGCATAAAACTTAAAAGGAAAAAAAAAATAATTTATTGACAAACTACAATAATAAGAACACCACAATGAACTTCCAGAAAAACCTTTTCATCTTCTATCTACCCACTGGTTATTTGTTCACATGATAACAGAGACAAAAACTTTGGAACTTTGATGGTTAAAACAGTCCCAATTCTTGCTACAGTCTTTTCACCAGTCTCTTTCTTGCTACAGTCTTTTCACCAGTCTCTTTAGAGAAACAGAAGTTTCTTCCTGTTAATTTATGGAGTTTCTCACAAGAAAACTATTTTTGTTATAGTTTTCCATTGCCCTAATGTCAGCTGCCCAGAGCTGCTATTATTAGAGCCCACTCCTCCCATTTTCACATCACTCTGAAGTGTGTATGAGCCATGAGCCTAGGGATAGCATTTTTAAGGATAAGTTATTCAAAGGCAAAAAAAGTCTTCTTCATCTGTTTCTGTGAGCTTCACGAAAAAACAGTTTTCTCATTGCCTCTCAAGGCTTCAAATCTCTCAGCACTTCACTATACCATAATTACTCTACTTTTTACTCAAAATTTACACTTTGAACACTTTATTCCTCCCTAGATACTGTATCATGAATTAAAGGAGTTCTTTTCAGGACTTCATTGTCCATCTCCATAGTTTTAACAGAGAGATATTTCAGCTTAATTAAAGCATCTGCTTAATTCTCTACCTCTTCTGAAGCTTCAGAGTGTGGTCGCTGTCTCTGCTTGCTGCAGGTCCAGAGCCTCTCTCCTTCTTCACTCGGCAGTTTCTAGTGAATTTAGTTACAGCAAAACCTGCAGCCGAGCCAGAGATGGGCCCAGCCCGGGCTTGGGGAAAGCCTTCCCCAGGCCCTCCCCATCTCCCGGCCGGGAGACAGAGCAGGCCCGGCTCCCGTCCCCGCCCAACCGCATGGCCTGGGCAGGGAACGGGAGGCCTGGAGCTCTGCCACCCTTCACAGCCAGGAAAACAAAGAGAACCAAGAGAGTTCTGGTTTTACACTTTAAGGTAGGGTTCACAAGTTGATCTCACTTTTCAATGGCCTAAACTGCTGTCAGTTCTCAGCAATGACCGATAATTGGTCAGGAGCAAAGACTCCAGGCAGTTCCCAGCAACTCCAACTTCCTTAAAGGTAAAGTAACTCCATGACAGGAGGTTAATGCTCCCGAGTGTCCTGATGTCCTGTGTCCCCCGTGGCCTGACCCCCAAACCGGGGGTTGCCATAGTTCTGGGAGTCCTACTGAGCTCAAGCTCCCCTCAGGAATCAAGTGTCCCAAACCTGTGGGTGCTGCAAAGTTCAGGAGACAAATAGGAAAAGACAGGATCCTGGTTGTGGGGGTCCCACAGCCACC